CTCCACCTGAATTAGCCTTTCCTTAAAACCAGCCTCCTTTGACCCAGTGGCCCTGAGTTTTCAGATCATGTCTGAATTTCTGCAGGTTTCTGCCCCAACCCCTTCCTTCTGCTCCAGGTTGTAAGTGAATCATGTTCTTACCATAGACTCAAATTGTATTATATTATGACTTGTATAGTTTGTATGTCAGTATTTTAATTCACACTTACTAAACAGTTTGGGAATTCATCTACCATGACACATTTTTATTTTGATTTATTGATGTATTTGAAAGTATATTTAAAGCTAGTGCCATCTCATTAAACTTTTTTTTTCTAAACTTCCCTGGCTATTTTCATTTTTTATTCTCATGGACAGTTCATATCACACAATATTGTTCTTGTGTATGAATTTGGAGAGTTCCTCTTCATCCATGATGTTTTAGTGGAATATTTTATTCTTCATGAATATATAGCTGTGAACTTACTGTAAAGCACATGGAACTCTGCTCAATTTTGTGTGGTAGCCTGGATGGGAGGGAAGTGTGGGAAAGGATGGACACAGGTATATTTATGGCAAGCCCCTTTGCTCTTTACCTGAAATTACCACAATATTATCACTTCTCTCCTCTCTCTCTCTCTCTTTTTTTAAACAGATTAATTTACTTGTTTTTCACTGAGCTCGGTGTTCTTGCAATGCAGGGGATGCTTCCAGTTAGGGGGAGCTTGGGCAACTCAGTGCTCAGGCTCCTCTCTGGGGTGGTTTCCCTGGTTTTGGAGCAAGGTCCTAGAGCAGTGGCTCAGTAGTTGTGACACGTGGGCTTCAGTGCTCCAGGGCCTGTGAGATCTTCTGGGACCAGGAATCAAACCCATGACCCCCTGCATGGGAAGGCAGATTCTTAACCACTAGACCAGCAGGGAAGACCCACCACAGAATTATAACTGGCTATACTGCAATACAAATAAAAAGTGTTTAAAGAAAAAGGCAAGAAAATACACATACTAGATGAATATAGGCTAAAATTCTGAATTTTCTAATAGAAGAAGACAGCATTGGTTAAAATACTAAAATATGTACTTATCTGTTGCTTCAGCTATGCATGAACTGGGAATAAACCTCCAGCCTTAGAGGCTATAATTTAAGATTAGATTTAGTGCTTCCAAAATGACTTGCTCACACTTCATTCACACCCACAAAATGTGAAGTGGGTGCCTTTCCTTTAGGAAAATCTAAACATATCTTTTGGTTGAAAAGACTCAGGGAGGAAAGCAGGAAGCACTGCTCACTGCCTGCCAGACAGCTTCTCCCTTTTACTCTAGAAATGGGATTGAAGCCAGGAATCTAGCAAGTCAATCCCAGAGATATTTCTGCCTCTGGCTATGGGACCCAACTGCTCCACATCATTAGACCTTCCTTCTCAGAACCTGCCCAGCCTACACTTCTGATCCCTTCACTGTAGAAGGACAGGTGCGGGGCAGCAGCAGGAGGAAAGCGGGGGTCAGGTACTCACCTCTCAGGATTCCCGGTCTCCCCTTTCCTTGTCTGCAGCTTCTCTTTAAATGAAGGGCAGGAGTTCTTGAACTTCTGGACCCTGGAGTTCTTCCTAATTATTCTGCCAGCTCTGTCTGGAAGTGGGGCCCCCCAGTGTACCTGGGGCACTGGCGATGAGGGGTGCAGACCTTGTAAAGAAAGGAGAGAAGGACCATGCTAGGCCCGCCTGCCACGCCTCCCCACAGAGCCTCCAAGGCTGACATCTGGCTGAACAGAGACAAGCTCCATGCTTTCCCGACCAATTCTCCAAGTATGGGCGCCTTCTTGGGTCCTCACAGAAAAGATCCCTCTCTGTAGAAAACCATGCGGAGATGTCTAACTTTGAGTTCCTCAGGAGGCAAGGAAGGGGATAGGGACTGGGGATTGCCCTGGAAAGGCCCGCAGGTTCCCTGTCCTTTCAGAAGGAACGGCCTGTGAGCAGCTCCTGGCTGAGTTCAGGGCTGATCTCCCAGTGTTCCCCTATCTGCTACAGGTGGGTTGTCTTTATGTGGGCACTCAGATAACCTTCCAGGAATTCTCCAGGAAAGAATACAGGAGTGGGCTGCCATTTCCTCCACCAGGAGATCTTCCCAACCCAGGGGTCAAACCCAGATCTCCAGCATTCCAGGCAGATTCTTTACCCTCTGAGCCGCTGAGGAAATCCGGGCTTGGCTCTTAAACACGCCCATGAGATAAAACGACTCTACCTTCAGGTGGTGACTCATGTTTTAGATGACAGTTTCCATCTAATCCCTGGAACCCAGGTGAATGAGGGCAAGACTCTGTGGGTTGGGAAAAGGTCTTGGAAGAGCAGGTCAAATGACAAAAAAATGAACAAACTAAAACATGCAAATATGCTTTATTCAGTGATTTTACAGAAGATTGGAGCCAGAAAGGCATCTTCTCAGGTGGCTCTAAGGAACTGTTCAAAAGTTATAAGGGGAGCTAGAGTATATAAGGTCACGGCTTGAAAAAACATTCAGAAAGCATCAAAAGATTACTGCAGATGATGAACACGATACATCTCAAATTAATGATTTTCATGCTTTTAAACAATTGCTATTTATTTATTTTTATAATCTTATTTGTTTGCTTATTTTGGCTATGCTGGGTCTTCCTTGCTGAGCGCAGCCTTTTCTGGTTGAGGCAAGCAGGGGCTACTCTCGAGTTGAAATGTGTTGACTTCTCCTTTTGGCGACATCTCTCATCGCAGAGCGTGGGACCGGGGTGTGGGCTGGTCCCCAGTGGTCATGGCCCCCAGGCTCTAGTTGGGTGCTCAGTAGTCATGGTGCTTGGGCTTAGTTGCTCCATAGTCTGTGGGGTCTTCCTGGACAGGGATCCAACCTGTATCCCTAGTGCTGACCAGTGAATTCTTAACCACAGGACCCCCAGGGAAGTTCCTTTTCATGATTTTCTCTATGAAAAGAGGCAAGAGTCTGTGCTTACTGAAGTCATGTTTATGATATGCATCTTAACTCTCTCAAGACACCACCCGGTTTTCCTCTCCTTGTATTCCCTTCAGGGCACACTGTCTTGGGGGAGCTGCAGTGGATAACAGCCTTTTTCTGCAACATCCTTTGTTTACTGAAATGACAAGTGAAATATCTATCCCCAAGCAAAAGCTTAGGAGAAGACTGGAAGTAGAACTAAGTTGCTGTTCAGTTGCTCCATCGTGTCTGTCTCTTTGTGACCACAAGGGATGCAGCATGCCAGACTTCCCTATCCTTCACCATCTCCCACAGTTTGTTCAAATTCATGTCCATTGAGATGGTGATGCCATCCAACCATCTCATCCTTTGTTGACCCCTTCTCCTCCTGCCCTCAACCTTTCCCAGGATCAGGGTTTTGTTTTGTTTTGTTTTTTTACATAATGGTATATATTTAATGGTGTTTATCATTAATTATTATCATTTTTAATTAATTTATTTATTTTAATTGGAAGCTAACTACAATATTGTAGTGGTGTTTGCCATACATTGACATGAATCAGCCATGGGTGTACAGGCATCAGGGTCTTTTATGATGAGTCAGCTCTTCCAATCAGGTGGCCAAAATACTGGAGTTTCAGCTTCAACATCAGTGCTTGAAATGAATATTCAGGGTTGATTTCCTTTAGGATTGAGTGGTTTGATCTCCTTGCAGCTCAAAGGGACTCTCAAGAGTCTTCTCAAGCACCACAGTTTGAAAGCATCAGTTCTGCAGTGCTCAGCCTTCTTTATGATCCAACGCTCACATCTATACATGACTGCTAGGAAAACCACTGCTTTAACTAGAGAAAAGCCTGCATAGACCTGTGCTGTAAGAAGCTGATGATCTCTGCAATGGCCCTGGACAGTATCACGAAGGTCCTGGATATGGTGCAGCTGGACTGTATCCAGGAGGTGCAAGTGACCTGGATCCGGCATCTGTCCATCCTGGCCACGTTTGCTCCTCTCCTGGGTCAGACGAGCAACGTAGAGAAACCCCGTCTCTCCCACACTCATGGTCTGCCCATGAGGAGCAGAAGCAGGAAGTGGTCCAGTTTCCCCCTCAGTTTCTCAGCTCACCGTCTCCAGTCTCTCCATCTGGACTCTCCCTCCTTGTCTGAACCTGCCTGGACCAGACGCTCAGGTGAGGGTGGGCCGCTGCCTGGGGAACAGTGAGCACAACCCTGGCACGTCAAGCACACCGGGGCCTCTGTGGCTCTTTCCTGCGCGGTGCTATCACTTCACCTCGGAAGTCAAGGGGGAGGAGCAGAGACAACACACTAGAGCTCTCTGGATGGGGCGGTTTGGATCCAGTGAGGGCGGGCATGGGTTCTTCCTTAGGAAGGGAAAGCTATGTCAGATGACTAAGAGAATAGGTAAGTGAAGAGGGCATTAAAGAAGGGACACCACCTCAGACCCGAGGAATTTGAGAGAAAAGGTCTGAGGAATTCCCTGGTGGTCCAGTGGTGAGGACTCTTCTCTTTCAGGGCTGAAAGTCCAGGTTTGATCCCTGGTGGGGGAAGAATTTTCACAACCTGTGCAGTGTGGCCAGAAAAGAAAAATGAAAAGAGGAAGTTCGGGAGAGAAACAGAGAGAAAAGCTCTGTGCTTACCAGATTCCTGAACACATTGAATTTGTCTCAAATCACCAGTCCCTAAAAGATTGCCTTTTGCTCCCAATAAGTTAGTTAGTAATTAAGAAATGCATAATTCTGGGAGGATTGTAGTGGAGCAGGAGCCAGAGATCATACAAAGCTGCAGGTGGTTTGCAGGTGATGCAGAGAGGTACTGCCAGGCCAAAATGAGAAGGGTCATTCTGGGTACTGACCTTCAGGAGGCGGTTAGTAGGACCTTGTCTTTGGGAAAATCACCTATCTCACAACTTTAGCTCAGCTGCCACCCTGATTTCTCAGACCTAATTGCTTGTTTTCTCCCCAGATGCCCGAGGACCCCCTTGGCCCTCCCGGCAGTAACAAACTGGCAGCTTACAGACTCAGACTTGCCCCATCTGTCCCAGAGCCCAAACATGTGTCAACTCAAAGGCCTGGATCTGAGTGAGGTCACCATGACAGACTTTAGTCCTGAGATCCTCCACGTTCTTCTAGAACAAGTTGCAGCCACACTCCAGGAACTGAACTTAGAGTGGTGTGGGATCACAGTGTCCCAGTGTGAGTCCATCCTGTCTGCCCTGAGCCGCTGTTCAAGTTTGGTACCTTCAGTCTGTGTTGGAACATCCTCTCTGGCCATCCTGGAGAAGCTTCTGAATCACACCACTGGGCTAAGCAATTTAAGTGATGAGTTTGATCCTGCCCCTCAGGAGAGCTGCAGCCCTCATCGAGCCCTCCACCTGGGCTGACTTGTCCAGCTTCGAGATAAACTCCTTGAGATCATGTGGGATTTAGGACATCCAAGGTCCATCTGGCTTAGCTCCAGCCTGTGTCCTCACCGGGGCAATAAGACATTCTATCCCAAGGAGCCATTTCTATACAACTGTTACCCTCCTCCTAGCTGGATGCATCTGTCAAAGTTTACTTCTGGTCACCTGCAAACTAAAATATAGGCAGTAGATGCATCAGGAATGGAAAACCAATCCATGGTTTCAGACATCAGCTCAACGTGAACGGAAAGGAAAGACAATCCCGTGGGGAGGCTGGATTGCAATGGGAAATGTAGACTCTAGGAGGTGTTGCAAATTTGGGGGATATGTATTTATACAATCAAATATGCACCTCAATTTTTGGAGGTGCATGTGGGTTGGAGACCCACATGTTGGAATTTTCCCTGGGTAGATGTTTGTAAAGAAACTGTCAGAAATAAAGAAACTTTCATTGAAAACCAACTGCTGCCTTCCCTGATTTAGTACTCTCTTATTCAGCTTATACCTCAGCAATCTCCAGTTATTAATTTTTAAAAAGAAATCACTGCGTTGTCTATGATCCAAAATGTTACCATTCCTGCACATTCTTTCTTCTGTTAAGAGCATCTCTTAACCTTTTGCTTATTTCTTTGGCTTTCCTGTTCCTCACTGTCTCCCAGAGTTTGCCCAGTTTCATGTCCATTCCACTGGTGATGCCATCCAGCCATCTCATCCTCTGATGCCCTCTTTTCCTTCTGCCCTCAATATTTCCCAGCATCAGGGACTTTTCCAAAGAGTCTGCTGTTTGCATAAGATGACCAAAATACTGGTGCTTCAGCTTCAGCATCAGTCCTTCCAATGAATATTCAGTACTGATTTCCTTTAGGACTGATGGGTTTGATCTCTTGCTGTCCAAGGGACTCTCAAGAGTCTTTCCCAGTTCTACAATTTGAAAGAGTCAGTTCTTAAGTGCTCAGCTTTTCTTATGGTCCAACTCTCACATAGCCATGTATATGGCTACTGGAAAAACCACAGGTTGACTATACAAAGTGGTATAGGCAAAGTGGTGTCCCTGCTTTTTAATATGCTGACCAGGTTTGCCATAGCTTTCTGTCCAAGAAGTATCATCTATTCTTCAAACCTCAGAACTTTATTGTTTTTCTTGCTCACTCTCAGGAAAAGGAAACATATGTAGTAACAGATATGGTAATTACAACAAAGATGGAAATTCATACCTGTGAGCAGCATGATCAGCATGCTGAAATGTCCAGAGGGTCATCATTAGGATGAAAACACTGATGATTGCAAAGTTCTGGGAATTTTTATTGTATTTCCACTCAACTTTCTGTATTTTATTGAATAGTCTCTATTATCAGATTCTTTTCCATGATCAGCATTGAAAATAAAGACATAATCCTTTTAGAAAATCTAGAGCAAACATACAATGAATTGGAGAAATAGAGACAGGGTTTAAGCAGCTCACATGAAGAAAGAGAAAGAGGAGCTCAGTTGTTTAGATTTCACAGTTAAAGAATATACAGTATTTACTTTCTCTGACATAGTTCACTTAGCATAATGCCCTCAAAATTCATCCTGCTTTGTGGAATAAGGTAGGATATCTTTCTTTTCATGGCACAATAATACATATATACATCTTTGTATATATATACACACTTAATAAGAAAGAAGTTTGGGAGAGCTGCTTCTTCTATCTGTAGCATTAGAAAATGCTTTTATTTGGGAAAAACTAAAAAAGTATGGGGAAAAAATGGAGTTTTCTTTCATAAGCAATTTTCATGGACATGTATATTGACCAGAAGAGTTATTTCTTCTATATGTTTATATTTGTGGTATTGGCACCTGGGCTAGCATTGATTTTCCCTGAGTTGGCATTTTAGTAAATAATAATATTTCACCAAAGACTGATGATAAAGTTTTCGATGGACCATGCATTTGTAACCATTTACTGCTTTGCCAGTCTGTGTGATCAGTTATGAGACCACAGGGACACTGTTCCTTACTATTTATTGGACAATATCTAACTTTGGAGTTTGTTAAGAAAAAAAATTTTTTTAGTACATATTGGTATTTTACTGTCCAGCAATTTTGCTCCTTTCAGACAACTTGAAACATTCCGTCCATGAAAACACATATGTACACGGAAGCTTAGAGCAGCTTTATTCCTCATTGCCAAAGCTTGAAAGGAATCAAGATGTCCAGGTGAAAGAACCAATGACCTGTGATACATACAGACAACGAAATGGTATTAAACCATGAAAAGTCATGGAGGAAAACACAATGTCTATTGCTAAGTGAAAGAACCAATCAGAGAAGTCTACATATAGTGAGCCCAACTGCATGAAATTTTACAAAAAGTAGACTCAGAGAACAATGAAAATATCAGAATTTTTTCCAGGGGTAGAGGTGAAGGAGGGATAAACACGCAGAGCAGATACTCTGTGTGGTTTTACAATGTCCTTATATACTTGTTAGAAGTCATAGAATACACAACACCAAGAGGGAAGTGCCATATAAACTCTCCACTTTGTGTGATGATGATATGTCAATGTGGGCCCATCAGTTATAACAAATATACTGTTAGAGTGAGGAATGTTGACACCTGGGGAGGCAATGGGTATGGAGGGAGAAGGATTTAGTGGAAACTCTGTATTGTGTCCTCTATTTTACTTTGAACACAAAACTGCTCTTCAATGTAAGGTCTACTTTGAAAAGGATACTTGCAATCTAGTTTTCAAATCTTATTCTAAATATTTTTAAAGAAACTGTTTTTTGAATGATCTTTGAAATTCATTTTAAAGATATTTTTCTTTGTAGACTCCAAATCCACATGCATCCTTTCACTAAATTTTCTTTATAATTTTAAAAGACAGTGTATATCTTCTATGTTTATATAGTGTGTGTTAGTCGCTCAGTCATGCCCAACTCTTTGCAACCCCATGGACTGTAGCCCCACAAGCGCCTCTGTCCCTGGGATTCTCCAGACAGGAATAGTGGAGTGGCTTGTCATCCCCTTCTCCAGAGGATCTTCCCGACCCAGGGATAGAACCGTGGTCTCCTGCATTGCAGGCAGATTCTTTACCATTTGAGCTACAGGGAAGTCCTTATTTTTATATAAATCACATCAGAAATGCATTGACATTACAGCATGTGTTTATAGGATGCTGAACCCCACAGCCCTGCTTGCAACATTAGGTCATGTCCTCTGGGCTGATGTACCAGCAGGTCGCCTAGGAGTCCTGAGGCTCAGGATGTCTGTCCCCAGAGAGGAGGGGAATCTTTCCTACGACCCACTCCTGCCCCTTCCCGTGAGGGCCACTAAAGCAGCTTGGGGGGATTCTGATTCCTTCATGGCCTCATGTAATGCTGAGCCCTCCTTCTCTCCTTCCTGTCATAGGACCATAGAGTGAGCCTGAGGAACGAAGACTCCCGGGGGTGCCTGCTAGCAAGGGAAGAGAAGGCAAGGACTCATTTATTGAGCTCATACTCTATACCAGGTCCAGTGCCAAGACCTTAACATGTTTCATCTTATTGATTTCCAGGATAAGACTTTCCTGGTGGCTCAGATGGTAAAGAAGTTGTCTACAAAGTGGGAGACCCGGGTTCGATCCCTGGATGAGGAAGATCCCTTGGAGAAGGGAATAGCAACCCACTGCTGTATTCCCCCCAGCCCAACATTCACTCTATCCCCAGAGCCAACAATACCAGCTCTTGAATCTTCAGCAGGAGCCTTCATTTGGGTCTCTTTTGTTTATGGTCTCTGTGTTGGTTAAATTTATGTGACATTAAGAGTGGGTGTTTCTGACACGATGTTCCAGGAACAGAGCAGCATTTAAACCCATCAAATGAGTGAAGACATCCGCCCTCACCTACACGGTTGGGTTTCATATGATTCCTGGGGGACTGAATGGAACAAGGTACTGTCTTCTCTCCCTCATTCTCTTCTTGCCCATGAACATAGCCACTTCTGGCTCTTGAGATGAGACTCCAAGACTTACCCAAGGAGTTCCCTGGTTCTCAGGCCTTTAGCCTCACGATTGGAGTTACATCACAAGCTCCCCTCATTTTCAGTCCTAAGCATTGGCCTGAATTATCAAAGTGGATTTGCTGGTCCTCTTCTTTAGAGAAAGCAGACCATAAGACTCCTCCATCTCTGTACACTCTTTGAACCCCTTCCCATAATAATCCCTTCTAATGCATATACACATCATTCTTGACCAGCACGCCTTTGAACTGCTCAGATCCTGTTACTCTAGGACATTTTTCTAGAATTAGTGTACCCCATCTGCAGGTGCTTAAATCTCAGGATGTGAAAGTGAGTGTAGGGAGAGTTGACTATGAATTACAAGATGTATATAGGAAGTGTTTTTGACAACAGGCTAATATGTTGATGATAAAACATGCTACTATTCTCCCCTGAATAGGGAGAGACAGTAGGTGTTATGGGAATAATGTCACTCTCCCAAAGACATGACCTACTCCCACAAAAGGATGCATTTTCTTAATGTGGCTTAGAAACACTAAAGCCATGCTATATGCCTGTATGATTTTAGTATTATACTCAAAGTAAATTGTATAACTTTACTGTATATGTTTACTATAGCTTATTCAAGGAGGACCACTGCACACGCTTGACAGGGATGGGTTGGTGAGGACAAGAGACTGGGCTCATCTGCAGTGTGGATGATGCTTCTAGGAGGGAGGATCTTGACGTGTGTGGTGAGGCCCTTTCCTAGCACACAAAGGTCAGGGACTGGGACCTATGGACCCACCAGGAGAACCCTGAGCACAGCTCACGTCCAGGGCCCTGGGTACCCTAATGTAGAGCTCTTCACTCCAATGATTCCTCGGCCACTGAGTATGTTCCCCTTTCTGTGTGAGCAGTAAGCCACTGAACAGCCACCTCAGTAAGCTAGGAGGTAGCAGATGTCCAAGACAGAATAGAAAACTAGTGGGAATAGTGGGATTTCTGAGCATAGACA